AAAGGCACAAAAAATTGCAAAAAAATTGCAAAAACGTGAAATGTGAGGTAAAGTAATAAAAATAGAAAGTAATGTATATTTTAGGAAAATAGAATCCTTATAAATATTGAGGGTTTTTTTCGCCAAATGTTACAAAACAATAATGACTTCACTGGAGCCTTCAAAATTGCAAATATAAATGTCACAATCATGGTTACCCCTTCATCTCAATCATGGTTATCCTGATTATCTTTGTGAAGGTTTAGGAATGATTTGCCGAGTGGGTAACTTAGGTAGTCCCTTGTAATCTTGAGTACCTAGGCATGCTCTAGCCTTTGTGCTCGCCCCCACTTCATTGCCTATTCTCGCTCTTACGGCTGGTTCAATGATCTCATCGTTGTCATCATCTCTATTTCCATCATCTTGTTGCTCCTTACATGTACCCCTCTTGCAACTTGTGCACCTATTTCAACTTATGCCTTTTGAGTCGGAGCTCCCCTTCCTTTTTGATAGGCCCAAGTATTCTTCTAGTAGCCTGTTATTGAGAAGCGGTCCCTCCACTTCCACCAACCACTTCATGAGATCTTCTAGGAATACGTGATCCAAGTTCATGGGGTCGTAATCCTCATCTTCCTTTCTATGCTGGTTTTGAAAAATTCAAGTTGTTGTTGACGTAGAGCAGCTTGTGTATCTTGGTAGGAGGCAATTGTTTTCTCCTAGAGATGTGGATCCACTAGAATGCCCTCATGTTTCGGTCATACCCCATGGCAGAACTGGTTTGGCTGAGCACCTTGAGCACAATAATTTATAGGTGGTGGGCTCCATTGACATATAGTTTCACTACTTGGCTCAAAAAGGAGAAGAGCTCATAAAAAGTTGTCAAGTGACTATAGAATAATGTATATTGGCATATGGACTTAAGAACTAACCTGGATCCAACTCAGTTCAAGATTTCCCAGCAAAGTTTATTGTGAAATTATTCTGCGCATCCATACATCGTGAAAGCTTTTGGAAAAAAAAAAAAGTTTAATCATTTACTATTGTGGCTTACATAATTCATAGATGCCCTAAGTTGGAGAAATTCATAGCAAATTGTTTCTTACCTCCTTCAAAGCTTCAATCTGCTTCCTTCCATCTAGTGCCAATCTTTCATGCAATATTGCATGTCCTCTATGATCTCAAGGTGAGTTAATTGGGCATAACAATCTGTTAAGTTGAAGAGAAACTCTAGATAGAACATATACTTACGAAAATATCTCATTGTCATGAATCCTCATAAATCATAAACCGTAATTGAAATTTTAGAATCCACAATTATCTGTTAAATATTTAAATGTCAAAAACCATTTACCTGCTGTGGGTATTAATTAATATCCCATTGTTGTGAATGCTCATAAATCATAAACCATAATTGAAATTTTGGAATCCACAATTATCTGTTAAATATTTAAATGTCGAAGCCATTTACCTGCTATAGGTATTGATTAGTTCAGTATGTTATTCCACTAGGATCAATTATCTCTCAATATTTGTGGTGGAATGTATGTGTGGATTTGCTCGATCAATTGCTTATGCAAGTACCTTAGAAGGCATCATTCAGGTGTCTAAATCTTCAAAACTAGCACTCGAGGAACTGTAGCTGTTTCAATCTACTACTTGTCTAAGAACCTCTTGTTATTGATTATCCTTTCAACTTCCCTCACTGTTTGGTCCTTGAGATAGGAGCGTTTACCCAATTCTTTCTAGGAAACTTTCTTTACACAATTCTTTCTAGGAAACTTTCTTTTTAAGCCTTGATTGGAACCTCAATATTGATTCAATGGACACGAATGACATTGCAAATTGCATGATGGGTAGTCTAAACTTCTTCCTGTCCATTGTGAACTGCCTTATTCAAGCTAGAATCACTACTGGTTGTAGGGTGGTCTAAACTTCTTCCTGTCCATTGTGAACTGCCTTATTCAAGCTAGTATCACTACTGGTTGTAGGGTGGTCTAAACTTCTTCCTGTCCATTGTGAACTGCCTTATTCAAGCTAGAATCACTACCGGTTGGAACCTCAATATTGATTCAATGGACACGAATGACATTGCAAATTGCATGATGGGTGGTCTAAACTTCTTCCTGTCCATTGTGAACTGCCTTATTCAAGCTAGAATCACTACTGGTTGTAGTGGTCAGTGCTTTCTCAACATACTATTTCACTTGCTTAAGCTTCTTAATGTCTTTAAGGAACATGGTGACATAGTGAGTGACAATGGGAATCCATACTAAATGATTCCTCTTCCTCACGATTCACGTTGTTGTATGGACATAGTTTGTGGCATTCTCATTTACTACTTGGATACATACTGCTCACGCACTGCCCTCACCATATCATTGGGTAGCGTATAGTAGCTTCTCACTCATTCCAACGATGGGGCATTGATACTATCATAGAAGACTATCCCTTGTGGGCAATATACCATCATCATCATCATCATCGTCTGTGTATCTCAACTATTTTTTACTTCTTGTTCTGCCATTTTGCTCTATCAAGGGCCATACCATTGTTTTAAAAAGCGGATCACTCAGCGCTTAGGCGATCCAAAAGGCTTCGGCGCATCACCCAGGCCTAGGCGGCCAAATTAGGCAGGTTATCCTTGGGCACCCTCCTAGGGGGGTGCCTAGCGCCGCCTCCTTGGGCCTGTGCCCCGCCCAGGGGCGGAAATGCTCCTCGTTGAGGGCATATATATATATATATATATATTTGTTTAATATAAAAGACGAACGCCATTAGAGCCTATTTTAGAGAAAGAAAAACCAAAAAAACTAGTTTTTGGTGATTTCCATAGGATCGGGTTTTTCAAAGTTACGAGAAATTGATCTAATCATCACCCATTAATATTAGATTTAGTCTTGGATGTTTTATAAATCTATTAGAGGTTTTTTAGATGATTTTGTGTCCTTAGAAACATCTTAGGGGTGGAAGTTTGAAGATCGAGCAATCAAAGTTAGTGAATTTTTTTTTCAATTGCTTGTATTGAGACATTTTTTGATTGCTTGTATAGAGTCTATATTGTTGGACTATATAGACATTTTTATTTTGATTGGGCCACCCAGGTTCTGGGTGCCCCCGCCTAGGCGCTAGGCGGCCTGAACCTCCCCAGCTGCCTAAGCTCTGCCTAGCATTTTTTGAAACACTGGGCCAAACCCTCATTCAGGCCACAAGTGCCATATCTCTTCCCACTACCATCAATGGCCTTTTGGATCTTCCCCTGACCCTTTGAGAGCTTTCCACTTGAACCAAATCGCCCCTTCTAACTATGTCAATGCTACATATGGCCACCTGCGTCTACTTTCTCTCAACTTCTTACTTATTAGAGCCACCCTTAATTTCCTTGGGATATATTCATTCTGAATTCTATCCTTTTTTCTCTTGCTACTCATCTATCTCAACGTATTCATCTTAGCAATACTCATTCTATGGATATATTGTTTGTTGACCAGCCAACATTCCACCCCATAAGGCATGGATGGTTTTACAACCGTCCTATAGATACTAATAAATGCTCTTCTATTAATATTGTAATATCAATAAATGTTGTCCTATTAATGTTCCTCCAACCATTTGACATGATTGTTGCCCATGTTCTTTGCCACATCATATGCTCATCCACGATTACCCAACCTCTGCCATGTCATCTATGTGGGGCCTGCTATGTAATATGTATGAAAGGGCTTGATTCAAAGCCCTATATCAGCTATGGTGGATATAAGGGCATGCAACGTTCAGTATTGGCTGCATTGAAATGGATGATCATCATTTTTGAAAAACTTCACGATCACCTTCATCATGTGCTTTCATCTTATTTTACTAAAGCTGGATTTGATTATTCATCTACTTTGATGAGGGCTTCATTAAGAAAGGGTCAATTTAACTCTAGCATGTACTCCATGCTTCCGTTCGCCCTTCATGAATGCCTTGAATATATCAAGGCTGCAACCTCCCCCGTTATCAACAACGTGACATAAGGTAGCCCTTTTGGACTCCCCATGCAGTTCTTGCTAGCTTTTGAGGATCGCACTTTGCAGTAAACTTCCTTAACAATTCTAGTTGCAGTATTTTCCCATTCTACTTGCCCTTGCAACTTCGAGTTGGGCCTGAAAATCCTCATTATAATCCCTTGCCCTTCTTGTCCAGTGTAAATTGGGTGCTTATCAACCATCTTCTTTTCTGTAGGCAAATTCTCCTAACCAATGATAACTGCCAATACTTTTTGCCTCACACTCTTTGGTACGCAATGACATGTTGATTTCATGGCAATTGACGCTGCCACTCACCTTTGCACCATCAGCTTTCATGCAACTGGATACCCAACAGCCAATGTACATGTAACCTTATTTGTCCTGTTGGGATGTACCTCAACCCCATACTTCCAAGCAAGATCCTCTTTTGACTGCAATCTTTTGCTGTGACATACTTCTATTGTAAAGGTAGACCAACTATTAACTGATAAACTAAGAGGTCTTTGAACTTGAACCTGTCTTGTAAAAACAAAAGGACAAAACCAAAATGCATTTCCATGCCTAAGAAATTGTTCGCGCTAGTTTTCTGATAAAAATCATTGGTCGCATCTTAACAGAATGCATTTGGGTGGAGCTGTGGAAATTTGCATCCTAAAAGCATCAAACACCCAAGGGCATAGACATGCATGTTATGCAGCATTTTAATGGGGGAATACTAAATTTTTAGGGAAAAGAATTGGATTGCACCTAGACTTAATGCATTTGGAAGGAATTCACATATTCTATTCCGAAATAAAAAGGTTAGCAATTTTTCATTTGTACCGTGGATTTCTACATATTATTCAAAATTGAAGAACAAAATTGAAGAAAATATTCATGTTCAAGCTGTTGGTCAGCAAAAAAAAAAAACTAGAGCTAGCTGAGTAAAGTCTAGATTGGTATAGATCTAGTGTATTTTGAAGAAATATTATCATATATTTAGGTTTATAGTAAAAAATAACTTTGATGAACAAAAATTACATCTAAAACAAAATAAATACATTGCAAAAGCAATTACTAGTCATAATTGGTTTTCAATGCCTGCAAAATTGTATCCCCATAGTATATTTGAGGTTAGGTTTTGGATCGACAAGATTTGAGGTTCACCCAAAACCTTGACGATTTCAAATTTGGGATTCTGATTGCTTTCGAATCTAAAAGCATTTCTCAATCTTTTGCAAATCATGTTATTCAATCTTATAGAGGGCTCATAATTGACCCAAAAGATGAAATTTCAGGTCATCATACCCCCTATTGGGTGAAATATGCGATTATTGTCCTTGACTACTCCATGACTTGGGGACTTGGCCGAATCTGGCATTGCTTTGGCCAAGTCACTACAAGTATTGGTTGGGTCTGTATCTCTCCAAAGTCTAGCTATTCGGTTCTTCAGGAACTAATGAAAAGCTGATTTCAAGTGATTCCGTGCCCTAGTAGCTTAGTTGTAAACAGTAGATATGATAGTTTCGACACCTGAAGAACTTATAGATTAAGAATAACTTCAAAATTACTAAAAATTCCCATCAAATCTGAGCAAACATAGATTTGATGCCATCCAAAAGGCCGCGTCATCCACTACGTCACCATTTTTTGTCCTCCTTTTGGTCAAATGTAGTCTCTGGACTGGCTTCCCTCATGTCCACACACCTAAGAACAATGCAATGCATAACGTAAGAGATTGACATATTATGGGGGCCACTCATTTATTATTTGTGCAATTCAGTGTTCTTGGTGTCAAAAGATGTTTGAACTGCTGTTGTTTGATTAATAGATTGTTTAATGGTGCCTTTGCTGATGTTTCACTTGTCAATGCCTAACTGGTCAGAAAGCTAACCATTGTGTACTTCATGTTCTAAGTTGGTTAGATATAGGAATAAAGTGATTGCTTGATCTATCCAATGTGTGTATCTGTTATTTGAAACTACAAACGATTGTAGTTCCAAGATCTAAAACTTAAAAAATTTATATTTGGAATAAGATTATATGGTCTAGCCTGACCACCCAAATAAGGGGGTCTAGCCTCTAGAAAATCGGTGAATATTTTGATCTGAAAAGTTTCAAAACGTCTTTGAAATGCCTTGTGAAACAACTCCAATATTTTTTGTTTTTTTTTTAAATTTTTTTTTTTTGAGCTTTTGATACCCTGGTTATATATTTACTTAAATTGATGATGATATATCAGTTTTTGAGGGGGACTTGTTTTAGAGGACTTCCTTGAGCTTCAGCTCAATGTGGAATTGATCTTGGGGGTGACTAAAGATGGTACAGAATTTTAAACACATTTCTTTCTTTAAGGAGCTCTTGTCTTTTAGTGATGCATAGTTTTCTAAACCATAGTCACTTGCTAGTACAATATTGTGGCATTTAATTTTTCAACACTTCACTATCGTTGTCGTATTGGGTCGACGGTGAATTGCCTGCCTCATTGTACATTCACCATATGCTCATTAGATTTGAAGCTTCTTCATGCATCTCATATAGGTCTCCCTTGTTTATGCCATCCCATCATTACACAGAGCCATACATGTAGTAGGAAACATTAATATTTAGAAGGATTAGGATAGGAAGTGGCTAGGAGATAAGGTTTGGAAGTGAATGTCTCGCGGATCTAGAGTAGGAGGGCCACCCTAAGTTCAGGGTTTTACTTCATGCTTTGTCTCCTATGATTCTCTGGTGTATGTGGAAGGAGAGGACAACATGATATTCTTAGGGCAATGATCATATCAGTTACCACAATCGAGTCAATCCGAGATTCTGTGATTTCTTGGGCCTGGTTTGCCTCAATATAGGTTTTGGTTACACAATGGGGCATTTGTCATCCCAGGTTGCAGTCTTGTTTAATCATTTCCTCCACTGATTCATCAGGTACGGTTTTGGTGGAAGCTTGATGTAAAGCTCTTGTGTGCATGGTTAGGGGATCCATAGGATAATAAGGTAATCACTTTGAACTATTGTTATGGTTGACTTTGACACACTCATTGGTCCTTGGTGTCGGAAGATGTTGCTCAGTGTTGCCTTGTGAGATTCCATGTACTTTTGGGAGATTTGGATCTGGTGGTGCAGGTTCTTGAGTTAGTTTACTTGCATACGGTCATGCTAGAGATGGGGTGGCTTGCTTCATGCCTCTTCTTTACTTGTCAAGGATAAATAGATGCTTGATGTACCCATGTCATTAATTGGACAGATGAATGACATAACTTTATAGTAATTGTAGTTATAGAATAAAAATAGAACGATTCTGATGGAATGGTTGATCTACGTTTTATATAAGACAAGTTTCATATGATCAAATGATCTGGGATTACATGTTTCCTTGAGTTTGATATTTGAGAATCGCCTCTAGTAGTTGGACAAAATATGCGAATGATCTTGTCGCTAAAATATGTTAAAGAAAAAAGTGATAAACCCTGTTAGATTGGAGTTAAATAATTTAAAGCAGCAGTTGTGGCAGATTCTTGTCTTTGCCAAAGACAGTTCCTATGGCAATACGCCCAGTAGGGTTCTGTGTTTTGGTAACTGTTGTTTCTGCGTTCTAGGCACTGCATAAAGAGTAAAAGAAGCCTACAAATTTCATGCTTTTGTCTACAATAATGATTTTTTTACTTTGGGTTTTTGATTAAAAAAGTTAAGCCATTAAGGTGCTGACTCCTATGATTTATGTTTCTCATACTAATCTTGCGTGAGTCCTAGCGACTTTGATAACTGGGTACCTACTCTTGTAACTTAAAGCAGGATTTCTATTGACTCATTAGTGCTATCTAATGCTGGTTCTTTTTAACATTCTATTATGTGGAAGTGACACAATTTATCATTAAGAATGGTTTAGAACTATTCCTATTTTGTTTCTTCTTTGGTTTGATAATAGGTATGGAGACGTTGATTGCAAGGAAATGAAAATCCTTTTGTTTATCTGTTTTACTTGTTCGAGCTTGTGGAGGATGACTTAGACTGGGATCTACCATTCCTTTTCCTTACTAATGGTAAAATTTAGTACAATGTTAACGTATGATGCCTTTAGGAATTGAAAGTCTTGAGTTCCTGGTGAAGTATTGATACTATTCTCCTTGCTTTGTAAGGTGGTTCTCCCTTCACCTGTGGAACTTCAGATTGCCCAACTAATTCCAGGTGCTCCTAGTTTCTTATTGGTTTGTGTTGTGATTTTAGCTCATATGAACTCTGGGTCGAGAGAATTATGGGGACTCATTTATTAATGGGTAAACGGTCATTATGCTTTTTCCTCAACATTCAGGTTGTAGATTAAGTTCTAATTAGAGAAAAACTCTTTTATGAAATAAGAGTTATACGATGTATTTTTTGTTCCTCATGAAACCTCTATACATTTAATCTGATAAAATATTCTAATTTTATGATGACTTGATTCTTATAATTGCTGGCTTTACCTGGTGACTGATTATTCTTTTTTTGTAACTCAAAAGTAGTTGACTGGCTTTGTGTCGCTGCAGTCACATAATCCTGTACTTTTTTGCTTGCATCCTTCATTTCTTTTAGAAAAAGGAGTGAGTCACAAAGTCATAATCAACAAGAATCTGTCAGAGCCACCTTCCCATGCATGTTGGGAATAGAATATTCTTCTAGAGCACCGTAACTTTGCTTCTGATTCTGACCTATACTGGACTGGTAAATTGCGGCCAGTATGGAGAGAGTGTCATAATCAACAAGAATCTGTCAGAGCCAATTTCCCATGCATGTGGGGAATAGAATATTCTTCTAGAGCACCGTAACTTTTCTCTGAAGATTCTTACCTATTCTGGAGTGGTAAATTGCGGTCAGTATGGAAAGTGTGTTTTCTACATTGTTTTAACTCACTACATGTCTCAACTGACTTTTGATGTATCCATATCTAATAATACCATTAGTATATGTGGTGGAATGCAAAAACAATAGATAGAATACTGAAATAATGTTTAGGATGTTTTTCTAGTCTCACAAAACCTTACTTCCTGGATTGAGAATGCTTGCAAACTCTGTCAATTATGATATCTTATTAATTTTTTGTTGCTTGAAATGTTCATTTTCATCGATCTAAATTGGATTATTTGATTTTATTTATGTGTTAATTTTCTGAAGGTATCCATACTCTAGCTAAACAAGAAACAATGAAACCCAGGCAGTTCCTGGAGATTACAGATGAAATTGAAAAGCCTGGCCAATTTCCAAGGATAATGATATTTATTCTCTTATGAGACCCTAGGACTTGCTACTGATTTCCAATATGTATGACTACAGGCAAATTTTGGTGGGTGCTTCCCTGAAAGGGTAACTTTCAACTTGCAAATCTGTATGTAGGCTTAAAAACAACTATTCTCATTGAAATTTGTTCAACTGATGTTTCTATCCTGTTCATGAGCTGTTGCATTTCTGTTGTTATTTAATAGTAAAAGAGTTCATATCATATAGAATATTTTTAACCATAACATGCAGGATTTAGTTTGTAGTTCATTTTGTTGTTAGTGGATGTCTAGGGTTAGTAGCTGTGGAGAGTTAGTATTTGGAGATGCTAGGTCTTGATCACATTGTAGCAATATTGGCTACCACAAATGGTTTTACAAACAGGCTGTTTGAAGTTTTTGAAATGCCTGATACAAGCACCAATTGTTCAAACTTAGTTTTGCATAGCTTTACATCACATAATATTAGAATCTGGCATGTTATGAGGATGTCACAACATATTGCAAGTTTCTTTCTGGATGCAGGATAGTCCTCCTCTTGCATCATAATACCGTATTATATGCATATAATAAACTGTTGCAATCATGGAATCCTTGATTTGGAGATCATGAGATCTGCTTCCTGCCAAGGTTCTTGGGTACATTGTTATTGCAGCTGAAGTCTGCTGTAATTTTTCAAGGAATACCCTTGGCATTAGATAAGTAGAATGATTATATTGTGCAGGCTTTTCTTGATTACAATCTGGTCATATAGAGGGAGTATCTCACCTCAGCTTCATGGATCTTGCCGGTGACTCGTATTGTTGTGGTTGGGGCTGGCTAAGTTGAAGATGGATGGGCATGTGTGGGTCATCTCCAAAGTTGAAATTGGTCAATGAAAAGGACTTCGTTTTTGTTCCCTCATTTGATATCCTAGCTTCATAAACCTGCAGAAAAAAATGACTTCTTGAGCATAAGTTTTAAATCCTGTGTCTTGTTCTGATTCGATTAGGACCAAAACCCATGAATGACTGTGCCATTATGTTTCTTCCTTGAAATTTCCAGTGTGAGGGAAGTTTGGACTTGTTTGTAGACTGGTTACCTTCCTGTATAACTCCATATTTTCTTGATGTATAAGATCTCCCTGCATGAAAATATTGAAATTCAGTGTCCTGATTCTTGAAGAGGAAAATATGATGAATAAAGGTGCAGTTGTTTTTGCTGAAAGACCTTTCGTTGTAGTTCTTGAATTTGCTCGGTTAAGATTTGATCCTGCAATAAGGCAAACCACACATGTGACTAATATCATTTATCAGTAACACTTTGTGAATTGAAACTCTGGATTTGCGAGGCTTAGATGTTTTCAGTTTTTTGCATTAGAAGTTACTTTCTTCCTTCGAACTCCACGCAAACTCATTTCCAGTTGGTTCTCTAAATTTTGTAGTTCCCCAACACCTAAACCTGAAAGTTCTTCTCCCATCAATTGCCTGCAGCAACCCGAACCAAAGAAACTAGAGTCAAACAGGCCAGTCTAATGATGTTGTATGGGATAGGGAATCATTATTAGCATTTCTCTGTTTTCCTGAGAAAATTAGTGTCAACATGTCGTCAACTTTCTATGTGATCAGCTTTGCTGGCTGTGATTAAAAAAAAAAAAGTCAAATTTTGTGCCAGCTGCAGTTTTGAAGCCTTTTGTTGATGTTGCAGTTGTGCTCAAAGAGTTTGGTTATGGATATTGATACTGTTTGGATATGGATATAGTACTTCTTTTTTGTTATCAACCTGAAAGTTTGTGTATACTGTTCATTCAAATGATTGATGAGATCAATGTGGAAGAGCTTTTCAGTTTTCCAATTTAGAATGAGAGAATGACGTAGTTTCTTTAGTTATACACTCATGTAAGCAACACAGATGCAAGTAATAAGGATTGCCCGCGAGCCTAACATTAGGGAAGCAATGCATGAAGGGCTTGAGGTCAACGAGTGCTAGCCTTCTTAGTACAGTCCGGCTTATAAATGCTACGATATTCTTCCTAATATATGGAGATTAGAAACAATGATTTCAAGAATCTGATAGTCAACTTACTGTTCCTACCACCATCTCTCAATCGAGTCGTAAGAGACTTGGCCGAATCTCAAATTGTATTTTTGGTAAGATGTTCAAGACTCTCGATACTTGATCACATAGAATATATGAAATATGAAGTTCAAGACTCTTGATACTTGATCACATACAATATATGGAATACTCAAGTACATGACTCTTAGTAGGTAACTGAATGAGCTATAGGAAACTTATATTTTCAAATTCTGTACAAATTCCCATAAGACAGTTGGACACTCAATTTGCTTATAGTTAAATAGAGATTACTTAACGTAGGAACTCATTAAATTGATCGTAGGAGTGGTTGCATAGCTAGATAATTGATTGAGCTCGGGTTAATTCCTACTTAATTGTCAATACCCTGTCATTTGGATAAGAAAAATATTGTAATTCCAAATTATCTATCAAAAACAGACTTCTGATATCTGGGAGTTGTAATTCCAAATTATCTATCACAGTAGCATATGTATTATTGTAATTGACTGTCACCTTTTGTAATTCTCATGAGTTGGTTATTAAAAAGTTACAAACACCATACTTCTAATAGATGCCAATTACTTTGCAATATGCATCTAGCACAAAGTTATAAAAAGGCTCACGTCCAGTGCAATGACAGTTTAAAATAATTTCTATATATTATGGTCGGACTTATGTTAATTGAGATTGCTAGGTTGCACAAGACATTCTGGTTTATAACATGGGAGCACATTTCATTGCTGTATGCACATGAAAGAAAGTTTTCGAACAACTTTTGTTGCAGGTCGAGAAGATACCGGTGATTATCTTGCAAAGATTTGAGTTGCTGCCTTAAGGTTGCTGCCTCCCTCTGCCATAACTAGTAAAATCCGAAACACAATTTAGTCTATTGTTAGATAAGACAGAAACACATATAGTCCACTGTTAAATGAATACAACAGAATTACAATTTATTCCATTGTTGGTTAATAGTAACAAATTGATTTCTAGTCCGGGTAATGTCAGTCATAAATACAATTTGTTAGATGATACAGATATTTAACTTTTTCTTCTGACTCTGTGAGTAAGATGATGGATTTTTTTGTTGCGGAAATTTGTTAAATGATGTAGACATTTTAACCTTTTTTCTTCTGACTTTGAGTACGATGGTGAGACAAAAAATTTGTCATTTATTTTGCAAGTTGCTTTTATTCTGGTATGTTGATTTTATTCAATTTTGGTATTTACATATAACCCTAGTTGCTCAGATCTTTGATCTATCATCAGTTAAGGATAATCCTACTTTCTAATTGAATATTCTATATCAATTATCAGTATACTATGGCCTTTTTATTTTTTATTTTTTTGATTACAATATTTGTAAATATTTAATCAATAAAAAAATATATACAAGTTAAAAAGAGGCGTTCCCCATGAAGGAACTCAATATGAGAACTTGAAGTTCCATTGAACCAAAAACAAATGAGCCATTGTGCCAATGCTAACCGGTAAATAAATGAGCCATTGTGCCAAAGCTAACATGTGAGTAAAATATTAGGGAGGCCTATGACCTCAAATTCTTAATGATACACATTTATGGCAAGTAGGAGAAGAATGTCCAGATGATAGGATTCAGTTGTTTATGCCGGACACCCATCATTGACATGGGCATCACTGGCTTGATTCCCTTCCCTATAGGTATGGACATTTGTCATTTGAATGGCTTAAGTGTAGATGAGAGCATGCCGTTGAAAGTTTAAGAAGGTGGAGGCGCCCAAAAATACCTTTGGGGGCGGGGGTGGGTATGCCAATAGACAAGGCATTTGTTACACCTTGTCTATTGTCTATTTATTTCAAACATACACATTTGCCTCTTGTACTATGGTCTGTTTATTTTAAACAATATCCCAATAACTTCAGATACATTCATGAAGGAATATACACAATATTCTTTTTCACACAAATTCTTCGTTGCATAATATAAACCATATATTGCACTGATCCGTAGTCAAATTTCTATAATTTTTTGTGGGGTTTAGCCAAATTTCTTAATTTTCTTATAATTAATCTCCCATCTAACCAAAACATGCAATTAATCCTAATTTGTGAGGGTCCCCTGCACAGTTTAGTACCACATATTATTGAGACTGGCCCTTTTCAGCATCAATGATCATTTTTAAAAATAAAAGAAGCCATCTTTTTGAAATAATCAATGGAAACCACAACTCGATTCCTTCAATTAGCCTGAATTACTCCTACTTAACAGTTAGGGCAGCCAAAAATCATTGATATAATCTTAAAATCCGTAAGCCCCCTTAATAAGTTTATTAAGTGGGCTTATGCTGTTTTGGGGGTTTGGGGCACTAGATTGTCCCCTCAAAACCTTTTAGTCCCCTTGGTTTTCCTTTTCTTTTTTTTTTTGGGTGGGGAGGGGGGGGGGGGTAGAATACTTTTGTGCCCTTGGCCGTGGCCAAGTTGTTCTAAGGTGCCTAGGCACCTTGGCCGCCTACTGAATTTTCGAGCAATGGTGCCGCCATTGCCCAAGATCAACATGCAGAGGAAACAACTGACATTGGATTGTTCGCCAGGACCTTTGAATTGCTATCAATGGTGACTTTTCTCACCCCCGTTGAGTACGTGCTAAAGCTCTATCTAGGATAGCTTTAGCTTGGGCAAGCATATTTGTGGCTTCCACAAGGCTTGTGAACATTAACTACCAATGGTCGTGTTCATTCCAAACGCTTCAACCAGTTTCTGCAAGGCCTGAGTTGCCCTTGGAGGTACCATTTATATGAAGCTTGGCCCTGTCTATGGGGGTACAGGGACCAACTCAGAATTCCACAGGGCTCTGTGCAATATCAAGCAATATAGTCCTCTTCAAAATCTCTCTGTGGTTCTCATTCCATCTTAATATATTCCAAAGAAGTCAAATATCCCATAGAGAGAAAGGAAAGATATTTGACATGAGAAGACCTGAGGTTGTTGTGGTGATAATTGACCTGAGAAGTTCTGATTGCTTCTTGTTGTTTGTTCTATTCCAAATCACTGCTGTCTTCTATTGGCTCTTAAGGAAAAAATTATGCCAAACCAGGAAAAATATGTCCTCAATCACATGTGTGAACAGGCATGCTCTCTGTTGCCCTTGCATACTGTTGTACTTTAGATCTTATTGATATGAACTTTCCAATCAGCGACTAGCAACTGTCAGTTATGAAGCAACTTTCCACCAAGGTGTTGTTTTGGGAACCTTTGTTACTGAGTTACCTACAATCAAATCGTGAAACCTGACTACTACAGGCTATCAAGGTTCTGCAGGCAACTCATATGCCCTATTGCAGCTTGCAGATGAGAATTACGTGGTGTCACAAGCACATTGTTTTCTTCTGATGATCAACTTTGTCACAGTTACATCAGGTTCACCTCTATAATGATCTTGCAGCCCAATATATTCCGACCTGAATCTTTTTCCTTTTTTCTTTTTTTTTTTTAAATACAGCTTTATGTACTTTTTCAAATAACAAGATCTCCTTTCTTCACTATCTCTCAGTTTTATTCTGTTCGCACAAATTATACTAGGATGGATATCCACTCCTATTAGTGCATTCTCATACAGAAAGCATATGTTCATTTACATTTCAGTACATGGACACATGCATACAACACATAAGAAATTGAGGCCCTACACAAGAAGGTGCGGCATCATTTGCTTCTTTATGAGTAGGCTGGTTTCTCTAAAGGACATGTTTTGAGCCAGCATAGCGAATATGAAAGCTTTTGGGTTCAGCTGGAAATATCTTCCTTCAAGCGCCGACAGTTTTCAACCCTACTAACTGAACTAACAAGTTTTACTCTTTGGTCGATTCTCTAAACCTGCATGCCTGCCATACATATGTTGCTTCTTTAATAAGACTGAACCATAGTTGTTGGTTATGGGAGCAAGACTGGGAGCGGGGGAATAATCAAATGCTAGGAGATCCCTATGGTTGAGAGCGTCACTTATATGGTGCATATGTTAGGGGTGAAGATCGCCAAATGTTGGGGATTGAGATCCCAACTTTTTTGGAATCTTGAACCTGATCTTTTGGGATCTTGATCCCAATCTTTTTGGAATCTTGAACCTGATCTTTTGGGATCTTGATCCCAACCTTTTGGTATTTACGATTATATATACTATTTAAAGTAGGTATCTCTTTATTTATTGCCAACAAGCAATGCAACTATATTAAAATTATATTTTTGTTACTAACTGACTGTAAATAAAGAAAATCACTAGTTTAGTTGTTGTCTTAATCTTTAAGGTTGGGATCGAGATCCCTAACTATAGGAATAGGGATCTTTTAATAGTAGAGATTGGGATCCCAAAATTTGGAAATCGAGATCCCTTTCCCGGAGCATAGGAAGAAGATCCCAAAGTGGGATCGCTACGGATTTGGAAGATCCTGGTAACCATGGACCGAACCTTGTCATGTGCAAGTTGTAGTTGTGATCAGGTACTGCTGTGGCAGGCTTTAGCAAGCTAGGGAATGCGAATCCACATTGTCATCATGCCATAAGATACCCACTAAGGAATTCCGTGATTCTGCATCACAAGTACATGTGAGTTTGAGGTTACAAGGATTGAAACCTAAGTGCCTCTTACTTGGACAGTTGTTTGACCAATCCTTTTGACATAAGGTGCTGTTTTATCAAAATCCCTTTTGATCTCAGTTGCTTTTTAAGTTAGGAAGAATTTTTATTTAGTAGCATAAATTTATGTTGGGTTTTTGTGGCCATTAAAGGCGTTATGAGAGCATGGAATCAATTTTAATATAGTGGAACAAAGAACACCAGTGGGAGTATGGTCCAGAAGGACCGAGAATGGCAAATATTGTTTGCCAAGATTCAGATTAGGCTTGACGAACTAGGCCAGTCAAGTTCCAAAACCATAAATACCTGGTCATAGAGCACAACCGATAAGGGTTAGCAAGGGTGGCCCTTGATGAGGTCGGAGTTGCCTAGGGTAGTGAGCTAAGGGACTGTGTGACACTTGTGTGTGATTGGTGGGCCTGAAGGGACGATAGTCAATGCCTTATCTTATATCATCATACAACATGTACACATGATAGCCATATCAAGAAGCAAATCACTATTGAGGGTGATACATATACATGTGTGAGAGAACCCTTATAGGCACCATATGAGTTATGTGTGTGCAGATCTATATGACTTTGGACTTGTCAATAGGGGAGAACCTGTAATCTATAGACTAAGATTGTGTCGTCTCACCTATTGGCTGACTTTGGTACCCCAATCATGAACTCTTATGATGGATTGTGGGTCATGAGAACAACTGGTCAGTTAGAGAAAGTGGGTGTAGATTATAGCCTCTAGTAGAGGATGGAGTCCTTTAGTGATTTCACTACTCTGTGAACATAGTTGAATCCAATTCCCATCATATTAAATTAAAATTAATTAGTTTGACCTTAAATGATTTTTAGATTATTAAAATGAATTTTTAAAAATATCTAGGTATGTTAGTTTCTCAAAATGGATCTATAGATAGTCTAAAACTGAATTTTTAGTATTTGATAAATTAGAGACAAAAATAAATAGCAATCATTTTCTAAAAATCATTTTCTTTATTTTATAATTGATAATGCATATGGGGGCCCATTATGGTCCATGGGCCCCACCATAAAATTGCATGTGGAGGGGTGCATGGGGCCCACTTGGGGCTACATAAGTGGCATGCCCACTATGTACTACCACCTTCCTATTTTGCACACCATGCAAGATGGCCTTCAATTCAGTGGAATGAAAAAGGAAGGTTTTGCAATTAAGAGATTTGAATTTTCAAAAAAGCATGTAAGAAATGTATGGAAAAGAAAGGAAAGAGAAATATATTTTTTATATTATAAATATTTGAGGGGAGTAGGTTAAGAAAACTGAAGGATAAAGTTCTAACACCTTCTTTTAGATCACGATAGCTGATCTAAGGATTGTAAGGCTAAGATTTCTCACCCAACAGGTTTCCCATGATAAATAGTCTGGATCTATTTTCTATAAGGACGGCTGACGCTAGAAAAACCTAACCATAAGTGAGAGTTTGTAAATATTCTCAATAAGGGGACCAATTCTCTACACCTAAGATTACATCTCTCTCTCTCTTTCTCTCTTCCTCCCTCTAAGAGCCACACGCCCCCTTCTCTCTCTGATCTCTCTCACCTCTCTAGCCTCCCTCAGAAGATATAAAAATAGTTAAAAGAAAGAAAGAGGGCCACATCCTAAATCCTAAGAGCCTAAAAGGGGCACGCCCCACACAGTCTCAAGTCTTGTTTGGCTTCATCATGGCTCTCTGTATTGAAGGGTCCTAGCCTAGGCTTCATATACTTTGAAGATCTGAGATAGACCTTGATCCCTTGCGCTATCGGAGGAGGAGACCCAAAGTGGGGTGTATCAGGTCCAGTTGAGGTAATCTTCTGACAATTTATTTTTGTGTTATGCAATTTATGTTTCTTGTTCCCTACTAAGTCTATGTAGTTTTTGGTCATTGAACAAAAGAGTTTTAAGCAGTAGCAGCAAGTGAGAACCTCATTTGTTATTCATAGTTGTTTATTTTGAGTTTGTTTTGTTGTATCTGGACCTCTATAAGTGTTCTAGCTGGTAGAAAAGAGAAATTAAAAATAGCATAAATTGTAGTAGTTCACCCTGCTTTCAGTTTAGCTCTTACTTAAAAAAAAGCCTTTCAGTTTAGCTCTTATTACAAAAAACAAAAAACCATGTCAAATGATGTGGTCTATAATTATGATTGTATTTTTTGCATTCCTAAACATCAAATTTTTGTTTTAATAGTTCCAATTTTCTAGATCAGTCAAGTAATAAAGCATGCTTCTTGTAGTTTGTATAAGTTTTACTGAGTAAGTTTTGTTGTTTAAAAGAATGATATATCAATTGTGTTGGCATCCACACCAAAGAGTTACAGTCGTACTTTTTCCTATATGGATCTTATTTTCATGAATTTGCATAGTTCAATTGTTTATTTTAAAACATACTGCCGAGGTCTAGAGAAGCAAGTTGTTCTTTGATTGTTTGATACTTAACAAAGTGAAATTAAAATTCATTGAATTTGACCGGACTTCATTTAGAAATGATCTTTATCTATGAGCACATTGGATTTCATACTTGGTTTGTTTATTTCGTTTCTTTGGTTTCACTCTCAATTCCTTCTTGGCATTCTGACTGTGTTTCCCTAGTTTTCCAAGAATTTCTATTTATGTTATGCGGTTGACAAGCATGAAATTTTGTTGTTGCAGGTTAAAGTTATTGACCGCCTTCACAGATAAGCTTTTAGTGCTGTTGGGTTGACTAATTTTCTGATCATACTTCCAACCATATTTGTTTGTGCTAGAAAGCTTGAAAGATGCAGTGTTTACAGTAAGATTTCTCATGGCCACACTGTAGATTTTTGGAGAAATAGTTGTGTTTCTTGAGAACATACCGTTACTTCTGAAGATGAACTTGAATCTTGATGCCTTTCATCCTTGCATTTGTTGTATCGTTCAATTATTGACTTCATACTGAGAAACAGAGATTGTAAGATTAGTGATTTACAGTTTCAGAAAATCAATAAGCACCCTGACCTCAAATGGTAGGTCTCATGTTAAAAGTATAATGTTAACGAGACTGGATGTAACAATACTTTAGTCGTGGCGCAAAAATTTGTGGAATTCTGGTCCAAATTGTCTGTATTATTCTATGCATGATTCTTTTGGTAAAATATTTCTTTAAATTGTCAGAGGCAGGTGGTGTCATCTGCGAATATAAAGAAACTTACATGGAATGTCTTCTATTAATGCATGAAGTAAAAAAAGAGTTAAGGATTATCCAAAGAGTAACTTGAAACAGGAATGTACGCATATTTGTATTTGTGACTTGCAATGTATGTTTGTACAATCAACTTTAATGATGTGTTTTCATTGAGGAAACCAGTCCTACCCTCAATTGACTTGATGCATATCTTTTCGACACATGACATCATTCTTAACGCATTACATTGACTCCATGCTTGAGGAAGTTGGGAAGATGAAAAGGCAAGATGGGTGTCATTGATAAAGCTAAGGCCATAATGATATCTACTTACAATCATAACTTGGTATTTAGCATGATGCGCAAGTATACAAACAATAAAGAGCTGGCAAAGCCATTGTACTTGCACAGTATGCTTCAAAGCATTTCATTAGTATTGAGGATTGTTGAAAGAGTTGGGAAGCCTGTTATGGACACATACTCAAGGCACTACATAAGGTCAAAAGAAAAAATAATGGCTTTGTAGGATGAGAGCTGGTTTGGCAAGTCCGGTCAATCATAGAGTGTAGATGGGAGAGGCAGCTCAATTGACCCTTTTATGCAGCATGATCTACCTTGGTTCGGAATTTGTATGCTGACCTAGATGTCAAATTAGGGAGTGAGATCATAGAAGGAATGTGTGTGTTGAGTTGTTTAATCCCAACAAGGCTGTACAAGATGACATCGCTAAGGAGTTTATTGGCTATAAATGTGCAGGAGGGACTAAGGACTACAGTGTCTTCAAGTAAGGTTACATGTGTTATAAATAGTATCATTACATCCATTTGAGACCTTTAGTTAGTTATCTGGCTTGGTTTAATTGTATGCTATGATGATGCTACTCACTGGTGGAACCAACATGATTTTTTAGGGCTCGTGAAGCTGTTTGTGAATAGGGATAGAATAGTAATTATCCGTTTCTTTAGAATCTCGCAAGACTAGGCAATCTAAATAATGATGATGTATGGGGAAGGTTAGGTGTATGTATGAAAAGGAGGATGTTAAGGAGTTATTGCACATATCTCTGAAGCTAGGACCATGTTTAAATGTTGCAGAAATGGTAGTTCTTCTCTATTGACAATTTGACATCAGCTAAGTGATAATTTAAAAATTGTTTATTTATAATTTATGTTCGTGGGAGTCCTCACTATAGTAATTAGTTTCATGCACACTAGAAATCTTGGATAAATTGATGTCAGCCTATTGTTTAGATGAGAATGATTTCAAACTTGTGTTTGAATCTATTGTTCAAAAAAACTGTCCGTTCAGGGCCTAGGTTCCGGCCTAGGTGCTGAAAGGACCTTAGAGTAGCCTGGGCGGCCCTCCTTGAGGCGTAGGTGCCCACCAAGGCACCTAGTTAGTTTTATACTTCTCTTTTGTATTTTGTCTTCTGTAGTTGTGATCGTGTTCATTTGTAAGTATGGAGTTTTCTATACTCAATTTGGATTTGATAGTTGGAGGGTAATACACCATGAACTTGTTTATATTTTTTACTTCTTTCATTAAATTTTCAACGATTTGAAGTTTTGAACGTGTCTCAACATTCATGCGTATATATTTGCATGGAAAAAGTTAGTTAGAATACATATAAATACAAAATAATTACAAAATTAACACAAATATCTGCATTTATTTGCTTTCGAATAGCACATATATGCAACTTTTCACCTCAAGGCAGCTGCCTAGTGCTTGGGCTGACTAGCATTTTCTGAAACACTGTTTGAATCCCACAATTTCATTTTCTCATATATAATATCTTTTCCATGATAATGTTGTGTGCAAAGATCCAAGGAAACTATTTATCCCTTGAAGTTGTTTCATGGTTATATAAGCAACTCAGTGATGTTTGTGATCTTAAGAATGTGATGATCCTAGATGTGTAAGTTACTTTATTTCCTTAAGTGATCGGTGCTTTATACTTTATGTGGATAACGCTATATTAATTCATATTTGTCTACTTCCCTCAAAATTTTTAGGGAACTATGATGCACGGCTACTCGTATATGCTTAACGTGCGGGTCTCGTATTGTGCCTATGTTATACTAGATATGGCTAGTTTACTTGTATTTACAAATGACATAACCATAAAAAGCATAATATGAATAAAACATCATAGCGCATTATAATGTGAACAAAATATAATACTTTGCAATATGATATAATATCCATGTTTCAATGTGTTGGATTAATGCAAGAAGGAAAGGTGGGAAACTAAATTCGCATCTTTTCCGAATCTCAAACGAGTAAAAATTTGGCAACAACGGTGAAAAACATAGCTATAAATCAAGTCCAAGAACTTTCTTCTTTCATAAAATAAAATTCATTGCAACAACAAAAGCATCCTTACTGTGATTTATGATCCTATAGAACCCTAAATTTAACTTAAAGATCAAAGTAAACAATTTAAGACTCTAAAATATCGTTAAAAAATATCAAAAGTTTCAGAAATACCATTGTGAACATTAACCCATGGACAATACTTGTGAACAGTACCTTTAAATAGTTAACAGTGAATAGTAAAAAAAGAAAGTAAAAAATTTGAAGGTACATCCATCATCATCATCAGAACCTGTTGCCCACTATTTGGGGTCGGCTACATAAATCTTGGTCCACCATTCTAGTCTATCAAGGGCCATACCGTCAGTGAGGTCATAAGTCCCCATATCTTTTCGCACTACTTTGAACCATGTCTTTTTGGGCCTACTCCTTGCTCTTTTTGAGCCTTCTATTTTGAACCAACTCACATCTCATAGCAAGTGTCATATTGGGTCTATGCTACACATGGCTATTGGAGCCACACCTATTTTCTTCGAATGTATTCATTTCGAATTCCATCCCCTGTCTTCCCACGCATCCATCTCAACATCCTCATCTCAGCTACTCTCATGCTATAGGTATGTTATTTCTTAATAACTTAACACTCCGCCCATTGGGATCACCATTAAAGATATGATCACTATCAAGGATAGGAGCACTTTAAAAATAAGACCGTCCACTAAAGAATATTGAAACCAATTGAAGGTTGAATCCTTGTTCTTCTCCTTCAAAATTGTGCTAACTGTTGATGCCATCAAACTGTAACTTGACACGTCATCAGTCCGTTCCCACTCAAACTTGGACTCTGATTCATGCCAATCTTCATAAAAACCCTAATGATTTGGATCTATACATGTAGATTCCCTTTTTGTTTAGGGCATATTGTTGTTGGTGTCACTCAACAATTGTCTAACCATCTTTGTCAACTTGTTAATTTCCTTGCACAATTGGATCGGATCGGCATCCCTATGACTAAGACCTTCACGACCATCCGTTGCAATTTCTAACTATCTTTGAGCCATGCTATAATACCACTTGATGCAGTAAGCAAAGATAGAAAATTAAATCGACCTTTTTCTTGTACCTTAAACAAGTGAAAATTGGCAATTATGAAGAAAACGCATGGTTATAGATCAATCCAAAAGAAGAACTTTCTTTTTTTATAATGTAATCCAATAACAAAAGTGTCCCGGAATGTGATGTCCCATCTTTTATAAGCCTATGAAACCCTAAAATTAACTGAATATCTAAGTAAACAATTTAGTACTCTAAAATATCCCTAAATAATATTAAAAGTGTCAAAAATATCAGTGTGAACAGTAATATTTGAACAGTACCTGTTAATAATATCTGTGAACAGTAATATTTGAACAGTACCTGTTAATAATATCTGTGAACAGTATTCATAAGTAGTAACCAATAAATAGTAAGAAAAGAAAAAAAAAAAAAATTGAAACTGTTAGTGTTGGAGATTAGCCCCACATTATAATATCTATAATTAACCGGAATAAAAATAAAACATAGGGTATTAAATTGTTTACTTGGATCTTAAGTTAATTTTAGGGTCTCATGGGGCTATAACAGTTGAAATGTTTATGTTATGGGATGCTTATATTATTGGAACAAATTATATTTTATAAAAGAAGAAAGCTCTTCTGTTGGCTTGATTTATAGCCATATTGTTTTCTCCAT